CCTGTGATTTCCAAAGACGTGATGAGTCCTTGGCCAAGTAATATATATCTTTTGCTCTCTTTACAATAAATAGTTAAACTTAGAAGTTGTCTGTCTTTTCTGGAATTATGAACCCAACACAAGTAACCAAGGGATATAGTAGTTCTCAAATATGCATAGAGACCGCCCCTTCCATATGAGTGTGTGTGTACGGCGGGCATGAGGCGTGCATGGCGGGACGAGTTGTGTTCGTATGTGGAAAAGTCATACTCAGTGCGGTGAACGCTGGCTTTATTGCTACTGTATCCGTAGCACCCCACGCAATAGTTGGGACTGTGTAAAAAAGGTTTGCCCCCCCAAACAAACAATCTAGAGGAGCACAAGTGCATTGCTTGAAATGGATTTCGCTTTGGAGAGACAAAAAAGGCACAGCGCCATCTAGTGGCCTTATTGAGAACAGGATTAACCAAGGCATCACCTGAAAGCTTATTTTCTGCTCTTTCAATAGGTTGGCTCAGTTTGTCTTTACTATGAACTGTCACAGAGATATTCAATCAGAAAGAGAATGATGGCATCTGATCCAGCCAGAATTGTTGACTTTTTTTCATATACGGGTTGCATTGTTTGGACCCTCACTGTAGCTTTCCAGTAGCTAGTTGACCGGGTTGTCCACCCAGGTTGTGATCCTTGAAGGTCCTAGATATCATTTCTGGTGGACAACCTTTTACAACATTCCATGTCTGTAAAATGACTTTGCCCCCTGGGTATGACTTCCCAATAGCCAATCATATCATTGCTGTCCAACTTGAAGGTGGTCCTTTCTCTTCTTCTCTCAGTTGTCCTTCCAGGGTAGAATCGATGCAAGCTTCCTACGCCCCCCATTCCCCTCCAACCATCATCACATCCAGATCCCAGGCGTGCAACAGCGGTAATTAAAGTTTCAAAGTCTCAAAAATGCTACAACTACTGTCACAAACTGGATGAATGTGAAGTATGTTGTTAAAGGAGGATGAAAGCGTAATTAAGGAGCACTATTGGAGTGACTTTGATGGCTATTGGACTCAGGATTAATTAATTTGGATTCCCGCTGTATGAAGAAATTAAAGGACGGCGTAAGTGGAAACAATTCACAAAGGGATTAAACTGTTTAAAACACATGCTCAAAGTAAGCCAGATTTTGCCGAAGTGTTTATGTGGATTCATAAATCGTAAATAATCTACGAAATGGAGGAGACCGATCTGATCGGAGCAACTGTGACAAATAATCCAACTGAAACCGGCATGGACAATGACTATGTTTTAAAAATGCGCTTATCCAGACAAGCCTGGTTTGGACACTTTACGGGCAGAAGAAACATTTCTATTAAAGAAAAAATTATACATTTCTGTCTTTTTATGCCTTTAAAGGTGGGTTAGGTAAGTTTGAGAAACCGACTCGAGATACACTTTTTGTTATATTCCATGGAATGCTCTTAAAATCCCGATAGCAATGAATATCTTAAGTGCTTAAAAAATGTCATCTGTGGAAGCCGTAGTACTGTAAAAAGCACGACCAATCATTTGAGCTGGCCTGGCTAAAATGATTGGATGGCCGACCTGTCTGTCAGCCTTCCATCTGTGCACAAACTTATCTCGTGCCCTCATTGGTCATGTGCGCGTTCGTGTGTGTTGGAGGAGGGGCTCTGTAAGGAAGTGGCAGATTTTTTCCGGCTGTGTATTTTCAAATTCTAGTGATCTCGAGCTGGTTTCTCCAAAATTACCTACCCCACCTTTAATAGCTACTAACTTGAATTTTTATTAAAATTAATTAATCAATTATTTTTTATATTTTATTGTAATGTAGAGACAAGGCTTTTAGCGACCATCATGTATTAAGTTACAATTATATGTAAAAAAATAAATAAAAAATAAAAAGTCTAAATATTATATTTGGCCTCAAATCATCTGAGGCCTGGTGCACCCCCCAGGTTGGAAACCACTGCTCTAGAGGGGTCCGGGGGTATGCCTCCCCGGAAAGATGTCTTTTAACATTTTAAAGTAAAATGCTTCAATCTGGTGCACTTTGAGCAGAATTACTAGAGACTAGATCTAGGGGGTACAACTCTAAAACACCCATATGAAAAAGATCGGTTTACATTTTAATAATCAAATAAGTATGTGAACATAACCAATAACCTAAGGTAGCCAATAACAAATAAATGTAACATATTTTATTTTTGTTGTTCATTCACATCTTATTTTACCTAGTTAACATTTATTTATTTATTCATGCATTTTTTTCAATATCTCCAGTTTTAAAAGATATTTTTGGTTTACTGTCCTATAGTATGCATTGGAATGATTTCAAACCTGTTGTTATTTATCCTAATAATTACAAAGGTGTGCCTTGGAAATATTTGTATACATAAATTGTGACCAAACCGTTTGAGTCCCACTGAGATAACTTAGACTAAAGTGAACTATCTAAACACTCAGGTCCTTTACCTCACTGAGCTGTAGTTATCAGCCTCAATCCAACAACGATGCGCGGTACCGATGAAAGTGTAACCGGGGTGAAAAGGGTGTTACCTTGACTTAATTATGAATGTTGTTACATCAAGGCTGAAAATTAGGATGAGCCAAACAGTCAAAAATGTTTTTTTCCCTCCCAAAACTACCAGCGCAGCGCCCCCCCCCCAGATCTGGTGCCCTATAGGCGACCGCCTATGTCGCCTATGCCAAAGACCGGCCCTGACCACCGGGGTTAAGAATCCATCATGTTAATGCATGTATTTCATCACTTTGAAAAGCCTCTGATGAGCTTGAACAAATTGCAGTGACATCAGGTTTCATTTTTGTTGACACATCTATAAAAGAAGAAGTGTATCTGGACCTAAAGTAGACCCGGGGAACCATGTCCCTGACTCACAGACAACCAGCAAGGCGATGTTGTTTCCCTTCTGCTCTTCTCCCCGTACAGCAGCTCCTGCAGTTCACGGACAACTCCACATTCACTGATCTCATCTCTGGTGGAGAGGTCAGGACAATAAGAGCTCAACACTCTGATGACAGTGGTTGTAGATTTTCAGTCAGGAAATCAGCTCGAGGAGAGGAAGTTCTTCCATAAACTTTCCAAAGAAAATGATTCCTACACGGCCATCATTGAGTCCATCTTCCATCACCATCTGGTTCAGTGCAGCCACAGCCAAGAAAATGGGCAGTGCAAACTAACATATGCTCTGCTGAGAAGCATATAGGCTGCAATCTGCTCACTCTGTAGGACATGCACGCTTTGAGGAGGGCAGGAAAGACTGTAGAAGACCCCTCTCACCCTGAACACAAACCCCTCCCGACATCATTCTCTGTGCGTTACATTTACGCACATCTTGGACTATTATTCGTGTGTGAACTGTGAACTCTTGCAAATCCCCTTATCAATATTTCTACACATCCTAAACCATATCCAGTTATATGGACATTTCTTTTTTTTATATTTCCGTTTGCCTGTATTTTTATTTCCTATATTTATTTTTCATTTATTTTAATGTGTTTAATTCTTAGCACAAAACATCGGAATTGAATTGCAATGCAGACCTACTCGGCAATAAACCTGATTCTCATCCCTCTTGAATTAAAACCGTTTAAAGCATGAGGCTGTTTATATTTTATTTTTAAGTGTCGACTTATCTCATAAAAACACCAGAACCTACAATGCATTTTTGTTAAAACGTTATGCGTGTGTATGAAGGCATTATATATATCATTCCTCTGTGCTATAGAGCTCCATTGCTGACTAACACCTATTTAAAAAAAACATAATTATAATGTGTGTCTGGAAAACGATATTTCCCGTCTCATTTTTACCAAGATAAAATAACAACGACAATATATTACTAGGACATTTACTTCAGTAGGAAAGCAATGTGAGGCAAAGAGAGTATGAAAGCCTGACAGTTTTAAGAGACTGACGAACACATTTCTGGTTTTGTCTTATCCTTTAATAAAGGTATTTGCGTATTGCGGCGTTTAAGGCAAACAGTAGTTTCACTACAGTAGCAGCCATTGGTCACTTAGAGGAGAAGTTGTAAACAAAGCTTTACTGTTACCATTTGTCTCTGTTGCTCGTGTTTTATTTCAGTTTTTTATTGTATGAAATAAAAAATAAGTGAGATACTGGTAAAGGATCTTAAGGTAAGGTATTTTGACACAACTGATGGATAGCTTAATGTGTATTTAATATTAGTCATACTCTCAAAAAACGATGTTATTGCATTTTCCTGTTTTTGATCTTAAAATAAAGCATGGTGATGTTTTATTTACACACCATAGTTTCCTGGAAAGAACTGATTTGAATCTGTAAATGGATAATTCAATTAGTAATTATTATGAGGAAAAAAATCAAGACTGTGTTTAACTGGTACATTCCCATTTAATACACATTTATCAATTGTTAGTGCAAATGTGAGTATTTTACTCACTGGGAAATGAGTCTACAGGAAAGTATTGCATTCTACCACAGAGAATAAAAGGTGCCAATCATTTATGAATAGAAAATAGATATTCAATTGCGTTTTAGTGCTTATTTTAGGTAAATCCCATTGGAAAACTTCTTATAAACTGAACGCAATGACCTAAATATTACATAAACGTCAAAATAATATAATCTACATTATTTGTTTATTGTACATTATTTATTCTGTCATTCTATCTTACATGTACATAGTTTACTTATTCCTGCAGGTTACTTGCACCATTTCACTAATCGCCATATTTTTTTCTTCACAAGTTTACTTTCTTAGTTCTTTCTTGAGTATATATTGCACTGTTGGCAGAGCCTGGGACTGAAGACTTAATCACCAAGAAGTACCCTGTATCTTTTGCGCATATGACGATAAACCCTTTAAATCTTGAATCCTTAATAACTACCAAATTAAATAGTTCTTTCCAGGAAACTACACAAGAGTAGAACAATACATTAGGGATATCAAAGTGATCCCTTTGATTCCTCTGTGGACTGGGCAGGTGGATTTCAGATGTTTTACCTGCACCACAAACGCTGCCAGGCCGGCCAGCGCGGCCAGCAGGGCCATGCGCCGCAGCCGGCCCACGTTCAGCTGCTTGAGCAGAAAGAAGCGCGCCCAGCCCAGCTTTTTGTCTGTGTGGGGGGGGTAGCGCATGTTGTTGAATGCCTCCATGTTCAGCTGCTTGATCAGACAGCTTCGCAGGTGGCTGAGCTGGTTGAAACCGTGCAGGCCGTGGTAGCATCCCATACCGCTGTTACCTGAGAGACAAGCCGGGGGAGGAAGTCAGCTACAAATGTTCCTCAGCTTTACTCCTCTAAATAAAAAGGATGTTTAAAACACTTACCAACTCCTCCAAAAGGCAGAGCGCTAACAGTGAAGTGCACCAGACAGTCGTTAGCTAGCAGAGCTCCACTGGACGTCTCTGCTATCACTCTTTTGATCAGCTGTTAATAAGAAAGTCAATAAATCAGCATCGTGGGTAAAATCAACATGAGCTACTAAAAATGTCAACTTGAATAATGGGAGAAACATGTCTTCTGGTGATGTGTTCACCTTGTTGTCGTTGGAGAAGACGTATAAGACCAGAGGTTTTTCTCTCTCGTTAATAAACTGGATGGCCTCGTCCACACCGCTCACAGTGATGATGGGCAGCAGCGGCCCAAAGATCTCCTCCTTCATCACTTTGGACTCCCCCGTCACATCCTGCAACACAGTGGGGGCTGCAGGGACACAGGAGGAAGAGGCTCAAGCTTATACTGTGGATACTGCCTTATATACAGGTAGTGTAGGGTTATGTGGTTGCAAGTTGTGTGTATCTTGGCGAGGATTTGTGTATGGAACCACTATGATGTAGTCAACATTTTACACTTAAGTTACAGGGAGGTTGGAGAAAATATAATGAGTTTTCTGTCCTGCAAATATATCCCAGCTTATTTTCACCTGTGACTACACCCATTTTGATAAATAAGATTCAACCAGATTAAACTGCTTCTTTTATCAAACAGTTGTCTTTAAAAACAGATACAATCCCAAACAAACTAAATCTTGATTACATTTCTCTAGCTAATATGCAATTACCTATCAGTGCAATAAAGATGATATGTTGATAATGGTTGTTTTAACGCATTACTTGTTAGATGCCTGAAAAAGCGTATGCTAACAGGTGACTTAATGAGACTACTAAACGTCATCGAGACGAAAGTTGTTGACATGAAGTCTTTGAGCATGTTTCTTTCAGTGATTGGGATGTTAACGGTTTGTTTTTCCTGTGTTGTGTTTTAATATTTGTCCTTGTTGATGTGGCAAATGGAGCTGCTGTGATCCCTTAATATGTGGAAATGATTATCATAGAACTTATTTTCTGCAATATTCCAAAATCCAATGGAAAAATCCCATTGCTTTTGTGTCGAGGTAGCCCTTGCAATGCTAAGGTTGACCAATACAAATGTGTCATCACTGCACCACACTATATATTCCCAAAAACATGATTGGGTATAAAAAGCACACTGAAAATACCACCAACAAAATATAAAACAATCCACCACCACAATCTATTCAGTTCCACTTTAGATGCGTGTCCCAACAGACAGAACAAATTCATTTTAGATGCCAATGGCTAAAACACACCATGTACCTATATAGCACTGGGATTCATCGCTGCCTCCACCCACAGCCACTGTGCTCCCCTCCATCAGACCCATGAGCCTCTTAAAGTGATGCTGGTTTATAATGCGTCCGTAGTCCTCAAAGGTTTCGGGATTCTCTGTGTAAAACTCCTGCAAGGTGTGAAATATAGGAGAAATGATTAATGAAATACGCATTAAGGAAAATATATGGATCATTAGTGGTAAGCATATAAACGTATCTCCTCCTAACGCCTGTTTCTCTGTTGTGCAAAACAATGTATCAAGTTATGATTCATATTGTTTGAACATACACACAGAAACATCTTTGTTGTCTTATTCTTAGTTTGTAATCAGTTATATTATGCAAATGGTACACTGGAGAAAAGTATTTAGGGAGAAACACAAACATACTAACCTTACATTCATCTAGATATAACACATCAATTCCACTGCTATCCTTTCTTTGTATTCTATTACTATGCTAATTGTTTTTTTTCTTATATCTCAAATGTTTCAATAAGAGGCTCTGCCCCCTTTGTATCTCAGGAAGTGTTTGTGTTTCATGCTTATTCGGATTGGAATAAGATTCCCCCTGATATCCGTCATGTGTCATCATTATTTGAGTTTTCAGTTATGTTATGACTGTTCCTTTAATTAAGGATTTATGAACTATCTTTTTCTTTGTATTGTGTTTAGTCTAAGGTAGTAATTAGGTAGGTTTTTTTCTCTTTTTGTATTTTTATTTAGTTTGTTGTTACTAACCCTAACCCTTTACCCTCCCTCCCTAAAACCAAAAGACACGTGATAGCTTTTACCACCCTACTGGCTAGAAGGCTAATATTGATTGAATGGAAAGCCACTGTGTCTCCATCTCATACCCACTGGCTTATAGACATTTTTTTCCCCTTAAGATGGAGAAGATCAGGGGCCTCATTTATAAAGGGATATACGCTCAAAAAATGGCGTATGCCAGTTTCTACGCAATGTTTGCGATTTATAAAATACTAACTTGACGGGAAAATGTGCTGTCCTCCACGCAAACTCTAACCCATGCGTACGCACTAAGCACACAAACGGGAGAGACGAGAAACTGCGACACCGTTGGCAGAAGGAAGAATGGAGAGAAATATGTGGAAATAATACCATAAATAAAATGTTACCTCTCATTTATCAAATATGAAGAATTCATTTTCAAACATTGATTAATTTAAAGCCAATCTTAAAATGATTAAACAAACGCCTGTTTGAGACTCCTCAGTGCACACAAAAACATAACTTGGAGAAATAAATAAATACGGATATGCTATTTAAAACCACCTCGAATATGTTGTGTTAATGTTATGACATGTTTTCTCATAAATGATGCGGTAAGCAGGAGGACAGAATTACGTCTAAACTGACGCCGTTTTGCATTTCTATAGGTTGTAGATACGAGCATGGTTTTATATACTATCACGTTTAATCGTGTTTTATGCCGTTTGCCAAGACTTGATAAGTCGCTCGTAAAACACAGGAGGTATGGAAACTAAGAACACCATATGTGGTAAATTGTACAGCTAATATAACACAACACATTAGTTGTATTTCCTTTAACTGGTGGATTATGGATATATAGTTGCTGATCGACAGCTGGAACACAAACCACCAAATACAACACAATCATTCAGATCCAGTCGTCATGACTACACTCCGGAGGGATTCCCCGATCATTTCTTACAGTTTCTCATCAAGGGGGTGTCTCCTGTCCCCGGTACAAACACACTGCCTGAGGAAGGTTATGTGTATTTGTTTTGTCATTAACTTTTTTCGGACCACTTATTTATTTATTTTGGTGACGATCCGACCTCCATGCTGCTACTCTGGTTCAAACTGCATCCACCAAACAATATGATTTATCTCCACCTCCCCACAATAACCAAAATCTGACACGGTGTGAGATGTCTTTTTTAGCTGTTCTATCGTAATTTCCTGCGATCTTCTTCATGCAGTCAGTCAAAATGAATGAATGAATGGGCGTTTCTTTGACTATGTATAGGCAAATATGGGCGTTACGAGTCGATTGTGATTTATAAAGGGAAACAGGCGTAGGAAGTGCCGTACGCACTTCCCTCGCCGGTACGCAAGGTTTTGTGAATCGGAAAATGGCGGAAAATGTATGTACCTATTTTTGTGCTTTGTACTACGTAAGCAACCTTCCTACGTCAATCCTACGCAAGGCGTTATAAATGAGGCCCCAGATCTTCTTTTTAAAGGCTTTTGTGGAGAACATGGGACCCCTTTTTTCAATTTGTTATGAGGATACCTTTCCCCATCATTCCTGATTAAAGACGTTGTTGTACTCGCTGACAGACTTTTGTATTTTATATATATTTATTATATTAAAAATGAATGTTTCCAAAAGATTAAAGTGTGTGTGTGTGTGTGTGTTTGTTTCCTCCTTTGTGTATGGTTATAGTTACTTTGGTGTTTAGCAATATTTCAATGTTTTTCTATTGTCTTTTACATTGAATATTTCTCTTCTTACTTTTGATCCTTGCTCTGATGTAGCAACTCATTTAGACCGACCTTGATGCATTTCTTGATCTCTTCCACCACTCTGCTCTGGATGGAGGGTTCACAGAGGACGAAGTCAGGAGCGATGCACGTCTGGCCACAGTTCACAAACTTTCCCCAGGTGATGCGACTGTATTGGGGGGGAAATCATTGAAAAGCTGCTTCCCCACTGCTGTGTGTTTGATATTTATGTAAAGCTTTCAGACTGACCGGCATGCCATACTGATGTCACAGTTCTTGTCGATGTAGCAGGGGCTCTTCCCCCCCAGCTCCAGGGTCACTGGGGTGAGGTGGCGAGCCGCGGCTTCCATCACTATTCTACCCACGGTGCTGCTGCCTGTGTAGAAGACGTGGTCAAACTTCTGCTTCAGCAGCTCCTGGGTCTCTGACACTCCGCCCGTCACCACTGGGAACAGATCCTAGGGAGAGGATACGCAGCCATTAGATAAAGGTACATGAAGATAAAGGTGAAATCATTCATACAGAAAAAAACAGGGGGCTCACTTTGTCTAGATACTGAGGGAGGAGTTCCTCCATGACCTTGGACGAGTTAGAGCTGACCTCTGACGGCTTTATTATTGCTGCATTACCTGAAAGAGAAAACATAGACACAATGATAAGCCTTAAAGTTAGGCACAGGGGAAATAAACTTCCTTCAGGGAACTTTGGGATTTGAGCCTTCGCAGACCATTCATATGCACACAACCCTACATAACACACCAGAGGACAGGTAAAACCCCCAAAAGCATTATAAGGCCCCTTAAATCACTTAGCCAAACTTCCTAAGTCAATCTGTTGTAGTTCATTATTTATTGTGGGAAAATGTAGCTGCCTGTTAATTGTAAGCACAAGCACCGAAGGACAAGACGTTAGGTGTGGACTCCTTTAGAGCTGCAAGAATGAGTAGATCCACAGAAAGTAGATCAATGTGAAAGTCAATTTGAATGCAAAAATGTAGATCTGTGGGTTTTGGATTGACAAAAACAAGAAATGTAAAGACCTCACCTTTGACTTTGATTATTTGCTTGAATAATCAATTGAACCAGTAAATAATCCGCAGATAAATCATGATTAAAACAATGGTTAGTTGCATCCCTGCAGTGTTTTACTGGGAGGGAGTACTGGTTTATAATAGTTGTGTGACTGCACAATTTATATTTCTTTGAAACCGTCTTTTCCCCCGACAATGCGTTATGTTTTAAAGATGGATCTGACGTGAGAACAAACTCCTAAAGGATGTACAATCTGGTCATTCACATTATTGACCCTTGTGCCGCTGTAGTCATTTTGTTACACTGTCAACTGTCATACTTATGCCATGTTAGACAAATGGAACAGGTCTAACACCATAAGATTGCCCCTGGGATTTGTATGTATAAGGGTCTTAGGGTCTGGATTGCTTACATACTCTTTTCACATGTTTCTCCTACTATATAGCAAGCTAACTGAATTTTGGAAACTGGGATATGAATGTTGTTGCAGCCACACTACTCATGCACTGTGGCTGCATTGCATTCTGCTCTATAGAATCCTTTTTAATAAGTTATACATCCTTTGTGATGTATTTCTCCCTGTTTGATTGTCCAAAGCCAGATTAATACTCATGTGCGATTTACCCTAGTGCAATTTACACTTTATTTTTCTTTCAATTTATTTTTCAATCTGTAAACGGTATCAGCATTGTGTACTTATCTGTTATTTGTTTTTTCACTTATTGTGTTTTTATTATTAAAATGTGTCCCTACTTTTTTATATAACATACATAATATCGACTCTTTTTAATTAATCTGCACTATACTCTTGCTTTTGCAATACCGTACATTTCTCCATTGCGGGACAAATAAAGGATTTCTGATTCTGATTCTTGTGAGTGTGTATGGGAAAATGCAGTACCAGCAGCGATGGCTGCCACCAGCGGCTGCAGGGTGACAGACCAGGGGTAGTTCCAGGCCCCGATGATGAGCACCACCCCCAGAGGCTCCGGCTGCACGTAGACCTCATCAGTTATGGTGAGGAGGTTCTTCTCCACCGGCCGAGGAGCCGCCCACTCTGCCAGCTTCTCTATAGCCAGCTTGATCTCTCCCTCCAGTCCCAGGGTCTCAAACAGCTCCGTCCCATTTGCACTCTGAAAGCAGAAGAATCAAGTCCAGAGTTCATTTGTTGTTATCTGTTGTGCTGGAGCTTGTTTAAATTGGTGAACATTATTTATTAAAGGTCAAAAGCTACATGGCAGTAATTACAAGTGTTGATTACACGACAAATTGATTTAATTTGGTTAGTGTTATGTGCTCTTTAGCTTGTAATGTTTGTGTATATTACATACAATTGCTCAATTTGATGTGTAAGTGATATATATTGTAAATATTTTCTGTTTAGGGTCTGGTCCCCTAATCTTCGAGTAGCTCAACGGGGTGTCCCATTTCACAAATCCTCACCATGACGTATGATGTCACTTGAATATTTAAATGTTTGTGAATAAAATCAATTGAAAATGAATCTGCTGTTCAATAGAGACTGAAATGTATCTTTGCATTGAATGTTTGAACGATCTTGGATAATGCATCCTGCTGTCCAGTGAGCTGCCAGTATTTAGACACAAGCTTGAAAGCTTAAAACTGATCTCTGTGTATACAGTGTGACTTATCCACCTTGCCGAGGTCCTTTTTGACAGCATCTGCTATGTCCCTGCGTCTCTCTGTGATGAAGCGGAGCAGGCTCTTCAGCTGGTGGATCCTGTACTCCAGAGGCTTGCTCTTCCCTGTCTGGAAGGACTTCCTGGCCCGCTGTACAGCCAGCTGTTCCCGGGACATCTTTAATAAAGAATATAAACAGTATGAGGCCCTCACCCTATGCATTAAATTCCATTGAAGCCAACTTTAACTTCCAGGTTGATAAAGACATTTTGACAGTTAAGAAAGCCGAAAGCTAATTCTACCAAAAGATGACCAATTGATGTTTCAATGGCTAATGTTATGTCGCAAAAAGTAATAGCATGACATTTATTTGCTATACAAGTGCATTATGTACATTTCCTTTGCTGATAAACAATAAAACCCTGACAATTAATGTATGATCATAGCTCATACAAGCTAGCTGTAATAGGCTACGCATAATAATAACTTTAATACTTAAATGAGTGTGCATTACTTTGTGCAGCCCTACCTTTGTTGGAGCTATCATTGCACTATAAAGCAAACACTAATAATACTCGCTATACTAGATTAACCAGTCACTTTGCTGTAAATGCCAGACTGGCTTAGCTTTTTAGCTAACAGCATAGCATTGCAAAAATATTGTTAAATAGTTAACGCACTCCATAGAAAATAAACGAACATAAATAAGCTTTTAATAGCTATGTAAGCGACACCTTACCTTTTAGTATTAATTGTTGACGATATTAGCCTACTAGTTACAAAGTTATGAGGTCGTGCGTTTGTCGTTAGCTTCAGCCAGACGGCGTCAGCAATTGGTTTGAAGGTGTGTCCATCAAGGAAATAACCAATCAGCTTCAAGATACAACCAGCTGACCGGCCTACATCACAATAACAACAACAGCAGGAAGTTAACAGGCCTATTTCAGCAACTAAGGATTTTTTGAAAATCCTGTAGGTCATTATTATGACTTACTCTCTCACAATTTTGACTAACTATCTACTTATCATAACTTACATTTAAAGAAATTATCCTGTTTTGCAAAAAGTATCCTAAATATTTGTTAGCTTCTTAATAAAGGCACTGGATAGGAACACAGACAATGTGAGTTGAACAGATACAGATAATGGTGTACAGTGTTATCCATACTTGATATACTTATAAATGCAGTCTATGACACTGTTGATTAACCTTATATGTTATACATATGAAGGAAGATATGTGGTAGATTGGGACATTTCATGGAAAACAGACTGGACAGCGGCAAAAAATACTAAACGTAGATTATAACAAGACACATGGGTAATGAGTACCTAATTATGACTTTGTTATTCCATAACGTTTGCTAATGTTCTCTAATGTATGCTAATTATTTGAAAAGGTTACAAAAATAAATGGTTTGTGGAAATATTGAAAGCTAATGCAATTCTGGAAAAGGGGTTGATGAATGAGATTTACTTTAATTGTTAAAAGGACAAAAAGGTTACTTGTTTTTTTTATATTAATCGTAATCATTTATTTATTATCATTATCTCCATATATAAACCTTTTTAACATTTCATCAAAATAGCCAAGCTCGAAAAAATTAAACACAGCAACACTTTTTAATTGATTCTCTTTTTAATAACAAAGACTGTATTTGGGTTCTATAAAGAACAAAGACGGACAGCCCTCAGTGAGGGACACGAGTGTAACATTAACATTTCTCTGAAAAAAAATGGGTGCTTGGAAAGAGTTGCATTTTCAGGGTCATGACTGACGGCAGGTTTCTTCGAAATGCATTCAGATCAAGCTGGAGAGGCGCGAAACAACGGGGTACATACAGTACATTGAAGATTCTAGAGGTTCTAACGGGGTACAAATGCAGCCTCAGCACCCATGCTTCATCTTAAAACAGTCCAATTTCAGTTACAGTCCATGGACAAAAATGGTACAGAGCGAAGATTCGGGCGGGTTTCCGTCAGCCTTTGTTGTCCCTCTTCACTCTGTGTGCAGTAAAAGGCTTTGTGTGGTTCAGAGTGCTCATGACGAGAACGAAGGAAACCCAGATATGTCTTTTAAAAAATTAAAATAAACAGTACATGAGAGAAACAGGCCTAAGGTGCCTGTGAATGCATCTATACACATTTGTACACAGAAAAATAATGTATTCACACCTGTACAGAGGAGTAGGCCTTGGTCTGCTTTCAGATGAAGAAGGCACCTCCTTTTCCATCACTAACTGTTTACTACTGGCCTTAATGCACACCTGGCAAGTGTGTCTATATACACTGACTCATACATACTTACAGTACATACACTTTTAGGAGCACAGCAGATGAGGGGAGGCAAAGGGACAGAGCGGATGCTAGGCAGTGCAGATTGTGACAAATCAAGTACAATGTTGGGAAATTAGTATCTATTTCAGAAACTTTCCCACTAAGCAAATATGTGTCTTGATCTGAACAACAAACAGTCCTGATAGAAAGAGTTCTCCGGAAAGAGCTGCCACGAGTTAGAGTTTATTCTTTGGCACACCCCTGTTGTGCCAAAAAAAGGTTTCTCTTATTAAAAAAAAAACCCTTGGCAGACATGAATAAAATGTATCAAATTCAGCTATGTACATATAAAGATTTGTGCTCTTTGACTGACAGGCAGGCCATCTGACAGCGTCACCGACACCCCATAAACACACACACCCCCTCCCGAAAAGAGGGGAAAGGAATCATCACATGCACCACATACAAATATTTACAAGATTGCAAACATCAAGTTTTGTTTAATAAAAAAAAATCTAGCTACAGATACTGACGGAACATAAAAGCTGTATTCCTTTAGTAAAATTAAACGTATTAAGTCGTCATGTTTATATATATATATATTTTGAACTCCTTTACATTCCTACAAAACGGGGTAACGAGGGAAATACATGTCAATAGTTTTTAGATGTTTTCTTGTTGCGAGTGGAAAATGAACATCCGGTTGATACAAGCCAATCAAAATTCCCCTGCTATGTAATTTTGTGTGAATAATCGTATCACCAACTGCACTTTAATGGTAAAGACTTAAATTGTCTTTCCATGGCTAAAAATAATTTCAATCGGCCATCAAGACAACATTTATTTGATCTTAAAAGAAGAGCTCTAGGCAATTTGTCTCGTCTAAGATAACCGTTTCCCTGGTTGCTCTGCCTTATGGGAAATGTATGCATTCAGTTAATCAGTAAGTATTGAGGGGTGGGAGCGGGAGTGATCGTTCCCCTGCCTTCACATGTATACCTTCAGATTTTATACTGACACACCTCTCCACAGTAAAGTGCTTGAGCTAAAAACATATCAAATTTACAGGTTCCTTTGCTCACACGGCTGTCGTTTTCTGTTAAAACAGTTTGTGTTTCACGTAAAAATCGTTGGATTTGTTACAGTGATCAGCCATCTGCTTAATTTCCTTCCGCTCCAATACTTGAGGTTATTTAAAAATAGGCAGGAGACTCCATGTTCTTCTGAACCAATAAATAAGAACAATAACACAGAGTAAATAACAACTGATATCACATAGTAAGCAGGTTTCTTTTTTTAAACTGCTCCATGGGGAGTCTCTTGAGGCCGTTTCATAGTCCTGTCCATCCTCTTCTTCTTCTGGTAAAAAACAATGATATCCTGAAAGATGGAAATATGTTTTTTATATATATTTATGTTGATCAGATGGATTTTTCACCATCATGGCGTAGGAAGAAAAATGCACATGGAGGTGCATGCATTGTGTCCACATCCAGTTTCAGTCTTTAGTTTCTGGATCATCTTTGGTTGTTTTGTGCATCAGTCGCTGGTCACAGCTCAGTCCATGATGCAGCCAGTGGGATGATAAATACAGATGAAACTGTCAAATGAAAAGTGCTTGAACTGCTACAGGAGGATCAGGGTCTTAGGACGTGGTCCCTGTGTGTGTGTGTGTGTGTGTGTGTGTGTGTGTGTGTGTGTGTGTGTGTGGCTACTCGTATAGTGTAACAGTGCAGTAGCAGAGGGCTGAGATCCTGCGGTCCACACTGGCCTTGTCTGCAGGGAAAATACAAACAATCAATTAAATTACAGTTGTTAACGCAAACATTTCAAGAAGTGAAAATAAGAAAATATATTTCAACTGCACCTTCATTCAATCTTTTTTGTGAGAACCGCACATTTTTAAGTCAAAACAAGCTTTTTCCCACGTTAAAAAGAGTCAGATCTGTACATGATTTGTAGATTTGCTGTAGAATTTGTTTGTTATCAATAGAAAAGTTATGTGACACATTTTCAAAATGAATTCCAAATCTGCCTGAGTGAGTGGCTCTTTGTTTACTGTGAACAGAACTTTTTCATCAAAAAACGCTAATTAAGTTTCATTTTCTATGGCTAGCTCCCTGCTAGCTTAGGTTGCTTTGTACAGCTGCTATCTCATTGGCTGCATGTAATAAGGTCAGCAACCATAAATGTCAAAGTAAAAATAACATTAAAATGTTAGCTTGGCGACAGTTTCCACCGCTCTCCATAAGATAACGATGGCAAAGTTAGATCATAACCGTTCTAAAGCTAATCATGTGACGCCAGCAATAGATGCCACTTAAACCCAGTCTGTTCATACCATTGATTTCTGCTCGAGGCCCATGTGTAGGAATGTGTGTATCTATGTCCCAGAGATTTTACTCACACTTGACCACGTTCTCAACGTCGGTGGGGTCCTGCAGGATCTTGGACAGGCCGTCCAGCAGCATGGCGGCCTTGCTGTAGCGGTAGGCGATATCTTCGGTCTGCTTGAACATCTCATCCAGAGCCGCAGACTGAACCTGACACACACACACACACACAGCATCACATTATTGTATCAATTAAACTGACAAGAATCAACATGTCTTTTTAAGATATTTATGCTTTCGCGTTGTATATCTGGCATTCACCATCTCCACGGCATTATTGTAGATGAGCTTCTCCGCTGTGACGCTGTTGATCTCGTCCATAAAGCGCTGCTTGTCGGAGAAGAAGTGGTTGAGTTTGTCTGTCAGCCGCCGGCAGAGGGAGATGCAGCTTTTGTAACGCTCGTTCAGACTCTTCACCACTGAGAGATAAAAAGAGACATGTTTAGTGTAGGCATTACACATGTAATATAAATGTTGGAAAGTATTGTAATCCTTGATAAACAGATGTTTTAAGGTTTAGGCTGAAGTGATTTATCCCACTCAAAATAAGGGTCCTTGGGAAAAGAGTTTATATGTCTTGTGTTTTACTGTTTTATAGCGAGTAACTGGGATGTGTATGTTTTATTGTTGCTCTCTTGAAACTCTTTAAAAAGCTAAATGTTACTGTCTAGGGCAGGGGTGTCAAACTCAAGGCCCGGGGGCCAAATCCGGCCCGCGACTTCATTTTATGTGGCCCCACAAGAGCTTACAAAGAATATAATATGTTTATTATACGGTTACATGCTACTTTACAGAAGCACGTTGCCCACAATGCATCTCAAATTTGACTTTTTCTCAGAATTTGACTTTTTTTTGTCCAAATATGCCTTTTCTCTTAGAATTAGCCTTTTTCTCATAAATAGATTTTTTTTTCAAAATGTCACTTCTCTTTTTCAAAATGTCACAATCAATGTTTTTCCAGAATGTGGCTTTTCTTTTAAAATCATATTGTGACATTCTTACTGAAGAGACTTGCAATTATTTGCTCTAGACTTCTGCTTTCAGACGTAGTTAATTATGAAGTTATATTAATTAATGATATAGTTTTAAAGTTACAACCGGCCCTTTGAGTGCAACCATAATGCTGATGTGGCCCGTGATGAAATTGAGTTTGACACCCCTGGTCTAGGGTGCTCACTTGTACGAAAGGGCCATGCTTGAAGGAATTAAATATCTCTAAAAGGATTACTATACAAATATTGTGTTTGTATTGCCTCACTCATCACTATCTAGACAGCAACGGATGTTAAGTTACAACAACAGTAATAATTAAATAGACAAAGGTAACATTTAAACAACTCCCTCTGATGAAAAGGGTGAACAGCAGATTTTGCCTCTTTTCTAATTGGATGACATTTCCTTACCCTGTTTGACGGCACTGGAAGGATTGAGCTTGGCTGATTTGATCTGTGCCTTGGCCAGATGCAGAGAGGAAGCCAGGAGCTGAGCCGCCTTCATGTAGAGCACCAACTGCTCCACCTGCCTGAGGGGGGCAGCACAAGCACAGTCAATCAAACACTGCAGCACACCTCCTCCTCCTCAGACTGCATGATATTAGTCATTATCTGAGATCCTGTCAGACCACACTTTAGGCATTCCTTACCCCCACTCTTTGCTGAGCTGGCTGATCTGGTCTACCACCACGCTGTCCTGGGGGGGGTAGAGCGAGGCGGACGACACGCCGAGCTCCGTCCCTCCAGCTCGCACCGCTGCCATCTCCAGGACGCAGTCCGTGAAGGAGAGCATCATGCGGAGGTACATCAGCGTGTCTGTGTGCTCTCGCTGGACCAGACAAAGAGTAAATGTCAAACAGGAAAGACTCAATTAAAAGACTGTACCAGTGAGTCATGAAGCTGTCCTAGGCCTCATTTCTACTGCCAACTCTACTCAACTTGACTCTTTTTTTAAATTTATTTTGGAATTGTCACGGCGTTTCACAGAAGGTCCTGCACTGACCTGTCATACCAAATTAGCCAAACTGACGTCAATAAGGATCACATTATTTTTTAACACTGGACCCTTATTTCAATTAAATGGCATCCTGTGTAATACGCTGTGCACTTTGTACACTAGGTCGAACAATTGACAAAGTACAGACATTCCTCTGTTCGGTGATGAAAACGATGTCTTTACAGAATCAGAATACTTTATTTATACTGGGGGAAACTCGGCCGAATATAGGCTGCTATATAGAGTGGAAAAAGAAAATCAAGATAAAGGACCTGGTACCAAAAGTGAATCAAGTCGAGCAGGTCCTTACTGGGCAGCGGAAACGGTATGATTGGTTAAGTATCCTGTTAAGTGATGATTAAAAGACTCCAAACACTTGACTTCCTCACCTCCATCAGAGTCTCCTCGGGCAGCTCAGGGGCTTCGAATGTGATGAACCCTTCCAAGCTGGGGGGGGAGGTCCCATAGGGAACGTAGCGCAGGCTGCTGGGTGCCCCATCACTCCCGTGAGCAACCTGACTCACCCCGAAACCCCCTGGAGGAGAGCAGCCCACGGCCATGCCGGGGGGAGACCCCACATAGACCCGACCGCTGGTGGAGCACAGGGAGCCGCCAGAACTGTTGGAGCCCACTGACGGGAGAGGGGGGGGTCATAGATCAATACTAACTAAAAACTAAAAACATGTTGTTGTAGGGAATGGCCTATTTGCTCAGGGTCAGGGTGCTCACCTGAGGTGGTGCGGGGTCGTGTGCCCATGTGGCTGCAGGTGGGCGGAGTGCTGCTGTTGGGCGGTGAACCCACGGTGAAGAGGACGGTACGGGGGCTCGCTGACATACCCTGAACCAGCCCACTGGGACCTGCAGGGGCTTTAGGAAGAGGAAATGGGTTTAATACTATATCATACACTGTAAAAAATGAGACTCTGTATAAGGAAGCATTAAGTATCAGGTAAGTTATCATTCTGGCATGTTTAAATATAACTTGATATACTTTTATATGGAAAAATACAGACTAACAAGACATTCATAACCCCCTATATTGGCCATGTGCAGACAGCAGTGTTCTCATACCTGTGTCCATGGGTCGCTCTGTGTTCAGGCTGTCATTGCTGCCCTGATAGGCCTGTCCCCCCAGAGTCATTCTGATTTGCTGCTCAGACAGACGACCTGTACTAACGGACCTGCAGAGAAAACACAAACAACATCAGCACAATGTGAAACAGACGAAAAAGTGACGTCACACGGCACCACACAAGTGCCCTTTCCTCCAAAAACATGCAAAAGACTCATTTATTTATTTAAAATAGCACATTTGTCCTCTACACATCTTCTTCTAGCACTTTTATCTGTTTGCAGCCCACATATTTACATATTATTACATACACAGTATTGTATTCAACTGTACAGTATATATATTTATTTGTTTTGATCATATTCTGTTTAAAAGGTACGTAGTTTACTTATTCCTACATTTTACTTACTATTTTAGTTTTTGGTTATTTTGGATGTTGCACTTTCGGTGGAGCCTGAGCTTTTTATTGCCAACAATTACACTGTAGCGATTTTGAATAAAACAATAAAACCGTTGAATCTTAAATATGAATGTCTTAATTTTTTTTATGCAAATACAACAATTTAGAGGCATTCAATGTTAGAAACAGAAGTATGTTTTGCCTGCCAAGCAATGAATCTGGTACAAAACTGTGAAGGTGCCTTGGTGGTACGATACTACTGATAGCAAAGAATAGCAAAGGAACATCCATATCAACAATAAACGATAATGATCAATGGACGTTGGAAAGATGGCATGGGGTAGTGAAGGAAACAGGGTAGTGAAGGAAACGGTCCAGGAGTCCTACCTGCCAAAGGTCCTGCTGGCCTCGGGGGCCGCGGGGCGTCCGGAGAGGTACGGGTTGCAGTGGTGGGCACACATTTCCCGAGCATCTGCCAACGTCTTGGTGGGCACGGGGCTGTCCGCCAGCGCCATCAGATTACAGGACGCTTGCGTTTTGGGAATCTTGAACGGGGCCGATATGGTCTGAAAGGTACAAAATAAACAGGGAAACTTAAAAAACGGAATGTATTTGGTGCTGATCTTTCAATCACTTCAAATCTGTACTCACTTTAGTGGGAGAGCCGATGATGGTGGGCAGCGGGGACTTCTGCAGCCAGTCGGACGTGCGGGGGGAGGTGCCCAGGAGCTTTGTGGGGGAGGAGCCCAGGTTGGCCGGGCGGCCGAACTGAGGGGAATGACTGCAGGAGGAAGAGGAGGCGGAGGAGGAAGGCTGAACCGGGTCTGATAACTGCTTGTGGAGCTTCTGCCTGGTCTGGTAGACCTCGGTCAGGGTGGGGGCACTCTGGAGCCGGGCCCCCAGAAGCTGAGAGGACGGGACGGGGGAACCTGCAGAAGTGGATTAGAGGTCAGTTTAAGTAAATGGACCATTAAGCGTAGTGTATTAAAAAACCTGTATAGATCTGATTTCAACTGATCACAGAAAATGTGACATTAGGGAGTCATAACTAAATCATTTGTCCCTCAGCTCTGAGTAAAAGAAAAACAGCGGGGAGTGATGCTACTGGTGACACTTTGAATGAGCGCTGTGCGTCACACCAGTCAAAGAACAACAGTCCTGAGACTGTCCAAGGACACTCTGTGTTGGTATTTAAATCTGCTTGTTTTTACTGTATGTCTTTTAAAAATAGGGGCCAAAGTCTGGCTTTATATCAGACAGTACACTTTCCTCATAATAAAGCGGTCACCATGACAGCAAAGGTCCTGACACAAACAGTGAAGGAGTTCCAAGACGTGAAATCTGTAGTGTTTTTATATCATGACTTTTAAAAAGACCTTGACCTATTTTAACCCAAGGAATTATAAAGTTATGACACACATGAGATAACAAGGCAACAACTGCAGTTAAGGTCGTTACTACCTTTTTGAATGCCAATGCATATCATATTATACTGTGTGGCCTTATATCATTGAACTGTTACCTATAATTTGTATCATTGGATCTATATGGTTCATTTTATATTACATTATTACAATACATTTAGCCGACAATTTTTCCAAAGAAACTTACAATAAGTGCATTCAGCTTTACAAATTCTAAAAAAGCCATTATTCTGTAAGTACATTAGCTTTCAATCAGCCTAATCATTGCTACATAGAGAAGAACGTATTTTCTTAGCCTGCAAATGAAGATGTGTATACCTTCTATTGTTCTGATATTTAAACGGGAGGTTGCTAGCTAGCCGATTAGCCAATGCAGAGCGAAGGGCAGATGCTGGAGTGTATGGTTTAACTATGTCCTGGATGTCCTTACCAGAGAAATTGTTGTTTTGCTTTACCTTGCATTTGATAAGATCCATTTTACGTTTTTATTTGATCTGATTACCATTTGCTGTTTCAGCAACCCACATCCCATGTAAATGCTTAGACACACAGTTGGGTTTAATGTGGATGTGGGTGAAGCAGGTGACCAGGCTGTAGTGTTGCCTGTGAACTGACCTCCTGAGGAGCTGCGGCTGCGGGGCTCGTGGCTCTGCATGTGACAGCAGCAGTGGCCCAGCTGCTCGGGGATGGTGCCCACTGCGAACACAAACACATCATTTTCACTGGGAGCTTCTGGACACGTCCAACACATGTCTGGAAGGTGTTATTAAAAAGTTGAGACATATCCAGACGTGTCCTTACCCAGAGGTGAGGGAGAGTAGGGCCGGGAGCTGCCGGTGGAGAGACGCCTGCTGACGGTCTGAGGGACGTCCGCCGAGCTGGGGGACCCCGAGGCCACCTTGGGAAACCCCATAGGACTAGTGTTAGAGCGCCTCACTGTGCCGGACCTAAATCAAACACAAAAAACATTAAGTATGTATGCAGACTTTTAAAGGTGCAACATTAATTCAGTTTTCAGACCTATGAGTACATGATCAGTCTAGATCAGGGGTCGCCAACCTTTTTTAGGATGAGAGCTACTTTCAAAAAATAAAACAAGTCGGGGGCTACTTTTACTCCTCTTTTATATAATTAGCACATTTTAACATTATGATATGCTTCCCTTTAACCTTTGTGTGCTGTTTGGGTCTGTGGGACCCGTTTTCAGTGTTTACTAAAAGAACATGTATGCAATTTCATTATTTGAACCTGCTTTATTTGGAGGTGGACCTCACATCCTCTAGGCGGGTCCGGGGGCATGCACCCCCGGGAAGATGTTTAAAGATGTTTAAATGTTGAAGTTAAATGCATCAATCTGGTGCACTTTGAGCACAACATGAATTGATGTATACAGCTCTCAACACTCAGATGAAAGGGAACTGTATACTTTTCAATAATCCAAACATCTTTAGAATATGATCACAACCAATAACAAATCATTTAAACTTGATTATTCTTATCTTACGTTACCTAGTTAGCATTCTTTCTTTTTATTTATGCTTATTTTACTAATCACTCCCCTTTCAAACTGTTTTTTTTTTTTACTGTCCTATAGCACACATTGGAATGATTTCTTACTTTATTTTTTACAACTAGGCTATATTAAATAGATAAAGGTGTGCTCTCTCTAGCTCTCTCTCTCTCTCTTCCTCTGTCTCGCTCGCTCACAGAGGCTGTGTGCTCCTCCGTGGCGATGACGGCTTGCGTTAAAAATAAACATATTTGTAAAGTGGGGGACACAAACGGGATTTCGAAAAGTGGGGGGGACATTTCCCCCCTGTCCCCAGTGGAAATTACGCCATGCGTGTGTGTGCGTCAAGTGCAATAAATATATATGCAAGTTGCAACACACACACAGTAAAACTCTGGCCCTCATGTGCTGTATAGGCTGGCATGACTAGGCTGATGTGTTGTGTAGAATCTGCCAGAAGGAAAGGTTAAACTCCTTATGAAGCGGTGAGCTGCCGCTCCACATTGCTTTTCTTCCCGACTGCAACGCTGGTCCCGCAAATCAAGCAAGAACGTGATTGGTCGATATTCATTGTGGGGGTGGGGGGAGGAGGGGTGTTAAAGTTGTAGTAAGTAGATAGAGTTCGCTATGATTTAGGTTTTGTTTATGCATAGATTCTTTTAATTACATTTCCTTTTTTGTTTTGTGTATTTTTTACATTTTGGATTTGCTTGGCGAGCTATTTTTAGAACATGCCCTGCGGGCGACTCACGTTGCCCCTGAGGGCGACTAAGTGCCCGCGGGCACCGTGTTGGCTACCCCTGGTTTAGATGAACGCTAGAGGAATCCAAACAGTTAGGTAAGAAATACTTAACTACAATTATTGGCTTCTCTCTTTAATTGCAGCCAGTTTTGCCAGCTTGTAAATACTTGTGTAGCTGTTGAGACACTACTGTTGCAAGCACCGAACAAGACCTCAATACAGATATTGTCTTTTGCAGAAAATTGCATTGGAGCAATATTTTTTGTAGGGAGCTCATGTAAATATTCAAATACACAATATGCATACAAAATATTTGGTAAATAGCTAATCATATGCAGAGAGAACAACTGCGTAAGGTTCAGATTTTTGGTAAACAAACAAAAGTGGCAAGAACACAAAGAAAGTTTCCCCAAGGTGTAATAAAAGTATGGTAAAAACCTTCTTTTCGCATCCAAAACTAAAGGCCATTTCAAATATGTTACATGCATTGTTTACAACCATGTCTGAAAGATAGTGGTCTTCCCTTTGTTGGGACATTGCAATGTTTTATGTCAACCTTGTATGATTGTGCAAGACAAAGAAAGAAATGGGGACCCACTAGTTAATGAGAAGTGATTCGAAATAGCCAACAAAAATAACAAAACATTGTTCCTTAGCGTTCAAAGTGGTCAAAGATTCTACAGGGCACCTTAAAATAGTCCCATAAACAGAAACATATATTAAGTTAACATGACATGTTAGAAATGAAAGAAACTGCAGGTTCAGAAAGGCCAAAAGGTATTAGTAACCTCGCTCTAAATGTTAACATTTTAAGAGCTCATTTTAGGAGCTCAATGCAAATAACCCCACTTCATACTTTCCCAATACCGTGTCAGCAAATGACAATGCAAACAAACCTTTAAACTGCTGCACCTTAGCAACACACGAGCAACACAAAACAGGTGATTAACGTCTTAAGTACCCCCAGTGTTCTCCCTTTCAGGAACAACAAGACTAATCTTCCTCTGCACTCCCCTCTGCTTTGTTTCCACATAAATCCGCCAACAAACCCTCCCAGCAACAGGTCGGGATGCCACAGAGTGGAGTTATGAGGTCATGTCAGTGAAAGCTAACAGCTGATGAAACAACAGCCTGGGTTTGCATCAACTGAGTAAAACATTAGTTACAGGCTGATTTCAGGTAACAAACACTTCCTCACACCCAGCAGAGGAGGCTCTTACCTGGGGGAGCTGTACAGCGTGGTGGTCGGGCTGCTGGAGAGGTTTTGCTTGATGCGCTGGTAGTTCCGGATCTGCGTGGGAACAGGGATGGGGGTGGTCTCAGCCCGTGGGGACACCATGGGGGTCTGTCCAGGGGTTGGTTGCGGCTGCCTGTTGGGGAAGAACGTGGAGAAGGGGGCAGTTAGCCAGTCTGCTCGATGCTGCTGCTGCTTCCATAACTCCAGGACATCTTCAGGGGGGTCAACACCCATAATAAGTTAAATATCCAAAGGTTTATAAAGCAGGACAACTCTAAAATGTTCTTTCTACTGCTTCATGTTTACTTCAGAGTGGAGTCAGGTTGAGGAACTTAAGTTTAGCCTGGCGGATCATCTGGTGAAAAAAAATAAAAAGAAAGGGGGCCAGGCTTCCATGTAAACAGAAAGGGCAGCCCCAATCAGCTTCGAGCTCTTGCTGCTGGGGGCGTGGCTAGAGGCAGGGCACGTGTAAGGCCGGTTCTCTGATATAAGCACAGACACAGCTGGGGGGGTGCGAAAAGCCACAGCTCATTTGCATTCTTTTGTTATTCCAGGGGAGACTAAATGTTCTTGAGCATACAGAATGCAAAAAGAAAGAGGAGGAGTAGGGGGAAATGGGCCGCTAAAGAGTGCGACACCAGTTGGAAACAAGTATTATGTAATGATGTGGAGACTGGGAGGGTCTACGAGAGGGTGAGCAGGAGGACACGTGAGGCAGAGACTAGTCCAGACAAAGAACCAGAGACTCTGTTGGATTGTATTTATTCTGAGATACAAACATTTGATACAGTAACCCATGAAGGAGGCTTTCTATTTTGTATTCAGGTACCTAAAAGCTTTACTACCCCGACAGGGCTTAATATGGAGAGGACTGTAGTGCGCAGTCCTTGTTAAAAGGGAGAGATAAAGAGAATTTGTAGGTCACTGAACCGCTGCTTTTAAGAGTGGCAAGAGGAGAGAGACTGCATCTGAAGTCAGTTGCCTCTCTGCTTTCTGCCGAGCAGCCTCAGAGAGGGGGATGGGATCAAACCAATCCAGCCTTTCTTCTTCATCATTCGTCCCCATTTGCTTACATCATCTCTCTCTTTATTCATTTCATTTATAACACTTTTTCCAGGCACCTTGCGATTTATTCCATCTCCGAAGCGCACACTCTTGTCAAATGTCTCTTCTTCCTCAACTCAAATCAATTTAGTACCCACAAGGCACAGACGATAAACAAGGCTTTGATTTAGTAAGTCTTTGTGAGTGTGTTACTAAATTGCAAGGTCATGAAGATAAAATGTGTTTTTCCCGTGTCAATGTTTAACTAATTGATGTAAGCAGTACAGAGTTATTGCTAGGGAGAAAAGTGTTACAGGACAGCATAGGGAGGGAATAAAGCTGCTGCATGGACGGTTGGAGGATGACACAGAACGGCAACAAAAACAGAGCACAGAAAAAAGGGAACAGAGACAGAAGAGAACGGTTTTGCTCGAGGCTGTTGACACATGCAAACAGGAAAGCAGGGAGATAGAAGAAGTGACTGCAGGTTGTTATAAAAGGAAGGGGGAGAAAGAACAAGAACAAAGAGAGACAGGCAGTAGCAGGAGTTAAGGGAGCAGAATATTTGTATAAAACATTTTAAAGAGGCCCTATTATGTTTGGGGTTTCCCCTTTCCTGTTTCTAAACAGGTACTTTTCATGTTTTACACCTGTAAACTCATTTTTTGATATTGCTGCTACTTTTTACTTATTAACATGGATGTATAGTTATTTGTATTTTATTGTATTAACATGTGCTTGCCTTTTTTATGATATGTTAATCTACTCATCTTATTGTTGCAGTTTATCAGCACTGGCCCACTGCGGGAAAAAAAGATTTTGGATTTTATGGGATATTGGGAATAAGTAAAAAAAAATAGCAACAGACAGCATTAGTTCTCAAGGTTTCATAGAGAGGCAAAGTCCCGCCCTTCTACTTCCGCCCCATGGGACCTTATTTCGGAAAAATTATGTATTAATGTCAATGGGGAGAGAAAGATTATCTTTCAATCCCATTTGAATTGTGCCATGAATTACACATATGATGTTTGTCAATCTTAAAAAATCATTTCCATGTCAAAAAAGTCACAGTTTGTCGTAAAACTTGAAATATAAGACTATGAAAAATACGCAACTAGAAAGACTACAAATCCCAGAGTCATTAACGTTACACATTACACTCGTGTTACTCACCGAAACCTTGTAAAGCCGGTCCCGCATGCTGGCTCTTACGGAACCGACTAACTCCCCTTTTGTGTATGTACAGCTCTCAACATGCCCAGACTTGGAGTGATTTTCACCTCTTTTAAAAGAGGTGAAATGTGCTAACGTGACGGCCATCTTGGTGTTGGTGACGTGTGCGAGACCAGAGATGTAGTTCATTGAGCGTTTCACACAAAAAAAAAAGTGTTACGTCACAGTTTTACGACACACTTTTATTTTTTTGACTTGCAAAATTATCTTTTAAATTGACAAACATCATATGTGCAATTCAAACGGGATCGAAAGATAATCTTTCTCTCGCCATTGACTTTAATACATATTTTTTCCGAAACAAGGTCCCATGGAGGTCCACCGGAAGGGGAGGGACTTCGCCTCTCTATAGACGGAAATATGTGTTTAATTATTTTTATTTTGACCTGAAACTAGAGTATTAGGAGGCGTGTGGCGCAGTGGATAGAGCCTTGGTGTTGGGATCAGGGGGTCACAGGTTCAAACCCCACTGCAGTCAGCATGTTGTTGTGTCCCTGGGCAAGACACTTCACCCCAAATTGCTGTGGGGATTGTCCACAGCAGTGGTTCTCAAATGGGGGTACGCGGACCCCTAGGGGTACCTTGGAGTACTGCAGGGGGTACGTGAGATTTATTTTATGTTAATGAAAAGAAAAAGAAAAAAATAGATAAATATACCAATTTTAGGAAAAGTAACGAAGTTTGAGCAGTGTGGGTTTTATATTAACAGACTAGAGTTACACATATTTCAAAACGCGAAGTGTAATAACTGCAGTTGCCTCCCTGTCAGAATGACAAAGATCCTCAGTGAAGCACAAGCCCATGTTTCTCACTAAATTGTAAGTACAACTTACAACAAAAGATCAGTTCAATGCAACTAATGTCGTCTTAGTGTTATTGCATGATGTTGAAATTGGTTTGCCATGAATTTAGTGATGGATTGTAAACATTTGAAATGTAGCATTTAAGTGTTTCTCAGTTACAATGTTGTTGTTTTAATAAATCAGACACTGATGGTGCAGCGCTTTACTGTATCTCTTTGGATAGGCATTTTTTCCCTAACAAATACTTTTTGCGCTGATCAGGGGATACTTGGCTGATTTTTTTTTTCAAAGTGGGTACATTATTGAAAAAAGTTTGAGAATCACTGGTCCACAGTATTGAGTATGTAAGTCTCTTTGGATAAAAGCGTCTAACAAGTAACATGTAATATGTAATATTAAAAAAAAAAAAAAAGCTTCCCTGATGAGATATAGCTAGTGGAAGGTAGAAAAGGGTCAAATGTCAGGGAATAACTGCTGGACAGGAGAATGATGAATATAAGTGGTTAATTCAATAACATGGATGTAAACCTGAAGAAAAAGGACGGCAACATTGAGAGCAGAGTGTGTTAGCAGTACATGTAAGCGTGTTATGATCTTTTAAGTACACAGGCCCAGTAATAACACAGTTTGTCAAAGCAGCAGATTTGGGCAGTGTACACGTCTATTCTTATCACACAGCCCTCGTGGGTCGGTGCTTTATTTAGCGCAGAACCACCTTGTTGTTTGGCTCAATGATTCAGATCTCACTCACCATGCACATTAGGAGGTGTGCAAGATAATTCACTCATGACAAATGGACGGTGTGTGTGTGTGATATGTGGTGTTAAGCTGAGTGTTTTGCAGTTGGCCAGAGAGACACAAATAGGGAAGTGAATTAACAAAGGAGGCCTCGCTGAAATAAAAACACGCAAACAATAGATGTTATGACCTTCCACATGAAATCAAGGCTGTGTGTGAATCTGACTCACAGCATCATGTCACACTTCAATCTGCAGCATTCATAAAGGCTTTGCAGACCCTTTTAATGCTATTTAGACTTTATGATATGACTAATGTATTACCAGAATAAACAATCAAACCAACAAATACATGTTACATTTGTTGTTAACACAAGCCCCCTATAAAATCACAATTTTTTATAAACTTTTGTACGGATTAAATTCAGGAGATGTTAATATGCAGATTTAGTTTAATTTGGAGTCAGTTACGTGTTTCCCTGTATTTCCAGTCTTTATGCAAAGTTACTGTTAGAAAGAAAGCAAATGAGGGTATTCCACAAAATGTCGAACAACACCTATAATTTTTTTTATGTGTGCATTAATGTCTGTTATAGCTTTATGACTTTGAGTGTTCCTGTCGAGATTTTGTTTCTCTTCATATAACTTTTCCTCTTTTCTTTAGACTTTTCTGAGTCAAAGTCAGAATTAGGAGAAAAAGATTATTCTTACATTTTTTACAAAAAATGCACTTTTGGTCAGATCTAAAAGAAATGTCACATGTCCCTAATCCTCTTGCATAGGTTCACAATGCAAGATACATGTTTGTGTGTTTTTAATAACATATTTTGGTACAATATCCAAACCAGTTTGGAAGAAAGCATCTTACTCACCCCCACTCACTGGACAGTCGACGACCCGCTCCCATTGGCTGGTCGTCTGAGGAGGGAGAAAGAAAGAAAGACAAAAATGATAAAGAGGCAGCAGGCTTTACTGATGTATGAATCAACAGTAATCAGGTGATTAAATGACTACACTGTGTTCATTGTTTGAGGGGAGGACTAGCAGGTGCGTGTGCGTGTGCGTGTGCGTGCGTGTGTGTGTGTGTGTGTGTGCGCAGCAGAGGGAGTGGGTTCATTTTACCAGTCAAAAGGGTAAGTGTGCGTACCTTCTGTTTACAGACTGATGTCTACGATTACAGCATGAAATGGTTAGCAGGTGTTTAACGTAATGGCGGTGGATTTGGTGACATGTGTTGTTTGAGTGTGTGTGTGTGTGTGCTGTAGGTATTATTGGCAGGTAATGAATCTGACCTCACATTACATATACTTCCAAGACATCTGCGTGCTTGTGCAGAACAGATGTCCGTTTACTTCTGAGTCCATCTGTCAAGTGTACTTTGTATTGTATGTACAGTGGAGAGGGTGAACATAACACTGATTGTGAAAGAACATTTCCATGGTCAGATGATTTCCAACTGTATAACTACCAATAAGTTGCTTTACTTGACGACATACTAACAACAAATCGAATTACAAAAACAAAACACATTTTTAACCAATCAAATGGAAGTATTTTCAGATAGCAGGGTTGGTTGAGTTAGCTGTCCCTATTCTCCACAACCTCAAATAAAGCATTGAGTTTTAAATATGACTATTTTCCGACATTTAATCCTTGACCCCTCCCATCCCTTCTTCCTCATGTCTCAGGTCTATATATTTTGTTGGGGAGCACTGATAAACTTAATAAATATCATGTTTTATTCTTATTTTCAATACATTCTTTTGTTTTGGTATGAAAAGGTAATAACTTATATGGGAGGCACAAGTATTCTCTGTAAGGAAAGGTCTTTGTGTTGTAAAAAGTTATGATATATATATTCATGTTGCGATACACTAAGGATCAACAATACAATACCAATTATTCCTAAACATTTAATCAAAATGGCTATAATAAGGTTAGATTCTGCTGTAAACTGTCTTTTATATTTTCTTGCTGTAAGTATTCTATTCTTGTTGTGAAAATAATACGCAATTCTTTTTGCAATAACACCCAGCTCGACAGGTAATATTTTTGCATTCTCCACAAGCAAAGTGAGGTTAGCCAAAGACTTGATCTCCTTTTGATATAATCAGGTGAGTTACAGAACACACAGTAGGGTACAGTATGTGCGTGCACTCACAGCTGTCAGTGGAGATGTGAGGCACCAGCACAAAGTCGTCAGTATCGGACGACGAGTTCTTGCTGCTGGTGCTTCCTGCAGACTCTTTGGAAAGCTGCAGGAAGTTGGGCGGACCGAGCGGAGGGGACGACAGACCGTCTTCTGCTAGAGTCTGCATGTCCGGGAGAGACTGTGTTCACAGAGAGAGAAAGAGAGCAAGGGAGGGAGGGCGAGAGAAAGAGGATTAAGTTGTAATGTGCCTCCTGAATGATGCAATTAAGGCTGTCAAACTTCAATGTACCTATTATGCTATATTGGAAAAATATATTGTAGGGCCATACCTATACAAAACATGTCTGTGAAGTTTTTTTTTTTACAGACTCTCCTGTTTTGCCAATCCGGTGCTTAAACAAATAGCTCCACACCCCTGGCCGAAATGTCCTTAAAATGAAGTCTGAGTTCGAAATATATCTCAAATAATGTATGCACTGCCATTTCCCCACATAAACACAACAGTCTGCAATGAAATGGTTGTCCTGTGTGCTCCTCTTCCTACTTGGCGCACCGGTAACTTTCTTGTGCGCACGAGAGGCTGAGACGGCTGAGCCGTCGAATCCCTCGGAACATCATAAAATCCCTTTTCAACTGTTTTCTGGTGGAAGTTTAACTAGGCTACTGGCACACTTTGAAATAACGCGCATGCACATTCTCCTCGTTTTCACAGCATTCATTGGATTATCCGTAAACCATACAAACAAAAAAACGACACCGGTTTTTAGGTTTCCTATTCGGTTTTGAAACGGAAAAACCAAAGAACGAACCATACACGGATTCTGCCGCTAAAAGAAACCAATTTTGATTTTTGTTTTGGATGAAATAATATGACTGGTATAGGTGCGAAAATTAAAAAAACATTATGAAAAAATATTTTTATATATTTATAATTCTGCAAATATTACGATAAACTCACAGCTATTTCGCGGCCCGGCATTAACACCTCCGCGGCCCGGTACCGGTCCGCGGCCCGGGGGTTGGGAACCCCTGCTCTACAGTACAGGTTAGCTCTGAGTGTTAGACCCCATTTACACGGGAACGTTTGCGTTTACGCACCAAATTCGTTTTCAAAAATGTCTTCCGTTCACACGCATGTTGCTCATTTAACGTGTCCGTTCACACGAGACCGCTGGAAACGCTGTAGTACATATGCCGGGCCTGTAAGTGGCGCTGTAGTTCCGCAAGAGACCGCTCGAAAGCGCTGGAGACGCTGTAGTACATATGCCGGGCCTGTAAGTGGCGTAGTAACTTCCGCCACAAAATACACCAAAAGCAGCGAAGAAGACCCCCGAGCATGGTTGCCATGGTTGCCCTTCTGTTTATGCCCCGCGGTGGATTTAGCAACATGTAGTTCATGTAATTCTCCATGTCCACTTGTTGCTGATGGTTGTGGTAGAGGATTTGTAGATTTTGCACTAACATCTGTAGCATGGTCAGTAGCAGTAGCAGTAGCAGTAGCTACTGACAGTAGCTACTGACCATGCTACAGCAGTGAGCAGCAGAGGTGGGGAGAGGTGGGGCTATGGCTTCATTGTTATCAGGAAATGATCGTATAGGGCGTACAGACAGAGCCGTTTGGCCCCCCAGAGCGTTCCGGTTGCAGATCTATCCACCTTGGAACCAGTTATCGTTTGCGGGGTCCGTTTCCGCGGTTCCGTTACGGCCTTGTGTGAACGAACGGGCTATATGCGAGAGAAAAGTAGCAGATACAACCCATTTCGTTCTCATGTAAACACCGCCTTAGCGAGGCTTGCTAATGTAAACAAAGACGAGATTACGTCCAAAACACGTCAGGCATTGTTTCCGATTTGATGTCATATCGGCAGCAAATCTGTATCCGCTCGTTGTAACCCCGTTTTTTAAAAGATTTGGGTACGGAGGAAAAGAGAAAGGGTTTTATTTTCTGACGCTGCGTGAGTTCCCCGACACACCGGGGAGTGGACACATATTTATGTATAAAAGACATCAAAAAGTGCATTTTGCATGATAGGTCCCCTTTAAGTAATCACATTAGTCCAGAGAACACTGACATCCTGGGAAATGACTTGCCCTGCGTTCCCACTGCTGCTGTGAGATAAACCTGGCCATCAAGCATAGGAATTGTTATAACATGCAATAGACTTCAACGTAGAAGAAGCTGCAACACTTAAACTAGAGGTATAGAGTTTTGCAGTGATTACTGTACATATTTTTGTAGGCCAACGTGGAAGTTTATTGCAGAAAATACAATGTGTGGCAAACACATTTTTATGATACTTACACATTTTGGCAGGATAATCTCACACCACTTTTATTATAGTTTATAAAAGTGTATCTGGAATCCAGAAGTAAAAAGCTAAGGTAATGCTATAGAAAAAATACATGACCATCTGATGTCTAGACGTCACCACTGCTAAGCTAAAAGCAGCTAATGTTAAATGCATTTCGTACTCCACCGCTGTTTTAAAGACACAGTATGAAGTTTCAGAAATCTCAAGTGGAGCAATAACTGATGTACTTTGTGTCGTAGAATAAATGAAAATGAAAATCTTGCAAGCTTGACTAACCACAGACTTGATTTTTGGAATCTAACCAAAGAAAACATTACTTTCGAGATGAGGGAAGCTAGAGGTGCTAAAATGCTTACTCATTTACGGGTTTAGGATTTATTCTTGCACCACTCTATTGACAATAGTGGAACAGCAGGGACATTTTTATGGAAATTAGGTTAAATAGGTTTTAGGCTCACTTGTCCGGCATTGTTAAAACATTTGAAGAACACACTTCCAGCCTCTGCATTTAACCCATCATGGTATAAGCAGCACCAGGCAGCTGCAATACAGCACTCAGTGAGCAGTTTGGTGATATGGTGCATTGCTCAGGAGCACCTTGGCCGAGCCCAAAAGGTGAACTACCACATGAAGCAAGCCGGCACAATAGGAGCATAAGAGGCATAGTTACTATTTTATAACAGTGTCATTAAATCACCTTGACATGAGGATTTATAAAGTAATATCAAACTCACAGGAGGGGAGTTGTAGCGGATGCATGGGGAGCTGCCACAGGAGCTGTCGTTGGAGGTGCTAGGCACCGGCACCGGACACGCTGAGAGGGAATAAATAAAACCAATTAATCAAGTCATAAAGTTGGAGGATGTAAACTTGAAGTACAGTTGTGTTGTTTGGGGAATATGCCCTTTGTGCTTACATTTTTTTATGGTGACTATTGGCACCAGGAAAGGATGGCTGAAGAACGCGTCTGCAGAGTGAGGGGGTTAGAGGGACAGAACAGTTTAGAGAACACACATCGAGACAGAGATTATATACATTTAACAGAGATGCATTTAACACTTCATGTTTAATTACTACTGACCAAAGTCCATCCTGTCTTTCTGGTTCCTCTGAAGCAGCCCAAGCAGAAGGTGGCCAAGTTGTTGGGAGGTCTCCCTTGGGATGCTGGGTAATGAGAGCATACATACATTAATATGATGGTTCTTATTGGGTGCATAAAGATCTCCCCAGTAAAGTGGCTCTGTGAGGCTGCACTGAGGATCAGGGGGAGCTATGCTTAATGTTAATCACAGGCTAAATGCTAACATGCTAATGCTAGAATTTGCCATACTCTCCATCTTAGCATGCTAACAGTTGCTAATGGCTTTGTGAGTCTTTACTGAGACAGGGAAGCTATGCTAAATGTTAACCTCAGGCTAACATGCTAATAATGACAATGCTAACATGCTTATGGTAGTATATGCCATACTCTCCATCTTAGCATGCTAACAGTTGCTATTAAGCAATACACACAAGTACAGCTAATGGGAATGTCATAAAGATTATAGGTATTTGGTCATAAACAAAGTATTGGACAAAAAAGTATGCCCTGGTGAAATGTCAGAGTCCCTAAAAGGATAACAATTCATCCCAAGCATAGTTTTGTTTTTGAGATCCAGTATTTTAATCTGGTTCAAAGAGCCATACGACGACTGTAACTACGGACAACAGACGCTAGCAGAGAAATGTCCTCCATCTGCACCAGTCTTTAAAATGTTACTTTAAATCTGGAACAGCCCAAATCCCTCACTTAGACAGAGCTTTTAAACAAAAGACAATAAGTTATGAAGCTTACATAGGTTGTGGATTCTTGTTCTTCTCGTAAAACATCCTCAGGTCTTGGGGACTATTAGCCTGAAAATATGATATATATATATATATATATTAGAGATTCACAGAAAAACATACACAATAACATATTTGTTGTGAACAGTATTAACCTGGAATGGTGGCTTGCCAACCAGACATTGGTAGATGACAGTCCCTATGCTCCACAGGTCGGCCTTGGCATCGTAGTTCTGGGACATGATGACCTCTGGGGCCTGAGGGAGCAAAGGTGACATTAAAGCACATGGGGAGTTATGCAACATGCAGAGAACGCTGACAGGGCTATTTTTTAAAGGGGACTGACCTAAGCAGCAGACAAACACAAAACATATCAAATAAAACACACTGACCATGTACATGGGTGATCCACACAGCGTGGCTGCCATCATGTTGTTCTGGAGGTACCGTGCAAAGCCAAAGTCAGCTGCAAAACAGCAAACAAATCAATCAGAACACACACAAGTGTTGTTATTACAAGTAACAAAAAACACTATTGTTGGATACTGGAGAATGCCTGTGTGACAAGCAGGGAACAGTAACACCTACGTAATCTTTTTACTTTAAAGACGCCCTATTATGCTTTTTGGGGGTTTTCTCTTTCCTGTAGTGTTTTATAGGTTTGTGTGCATGTAAATGTTCTGCAAAGGCTAAAATCCATGTGTTCCCTCCAGAGGGAGTTTCTCTCTCTCACACACTCCCCCGCTGCCTGAAACGCCTTCATTAGCCGCGTTCACACCGGAGTACTTTTCCCCGTACTTTTCACGTTTAGTTCCGTTAGTACCCCTTATGTCGCGTTCACACCAAAAAGAGTACTTCAAGCTGGCACTAAGTACGGCAAAGTACTTGGTGTGAACGCGGCTATAGTACTCCTTTGTTTCTTACTGATAATAATGACATCACTATGTAACACTTGTGCTTCTATTGGTTAGCGCTCCAACACATTGTAAGTGATAGGCTAAGGGGCGGGACATCTCTAAGTTGTTAACCAATCATAACAGAGCCAGCCAGTTAACCAATCAGAGCAGACTGAGCTCTGGTTTCATCTGAGATGAAAGATAATGAGTGTTTAAAGCATAGTAGCTTTCTGTTTGATGGTAAAAAGATTGAAACAAATATTATTTTTTCATACACAGTGGACTATTGCCTCTTATTCTGCTTCTGACTGAAAGTGTTTCGCAGTGCAAGTCATATGATTTGGCTTCTGGATTTAAAAGTTGAACCAAATAAAGGGAACATTACTTTTAAGGGGCTATTTAAGAGTAATATTTATACAACTGTCATGTTACTTTAAATCTGGAATCAATAAACGCTTTAAATAGTTTTTATTTCAGTCATCTCACACAGTTAAAGCTTAATCAAAGTTAGGAAATCACTAGATATGGATATATATACAAGACACTAGATACATAATCATTATGAAATTAAATCTAGTATGCGAAACATCCAATAAAGGACTTTTTCTGTCTGATTCTTTCACCTATTTTGATGCGGATGCCACTGATGTTGGACCTCTTGCGGCCCGCGTACGACAGCAGGATGTTCTGTGGTTTCAGGTCACGGTGGATGATTCCTTTGCTGCTGAGGATGCGCATAGCCGCAGCAATCTGCTGGAGGAAAACCCTCAGGGTGTCTTCTCTCAGAGTCCCTTTTGCTGAAGAAGAAGAGAGAAAAAGAAATGACGATTACTGAATGAAATCAACTTTTTTTTTTTCAAAGGAAACTCAAAAGGACACCTTTAAACAAATCTGCTCACAAAGATTCATCTTGTTTAATATTATCCTGGATAGTCATTCAAAGGCTGACCTATTGATTTTATTCAGGTGCTTCCTGCTGCCCAACGAAAAACATTAATGATTGCTTTCCTTGGCAAGATGAGGAATCAATACATTATATAATTCAAAAGGCATGTATTAACCAGCACTCCACAAAACTGCTTATGAGCCGCACTTGATTAAAGCTAATTAGCATCTTATAGTAATACTCGTGAAGTAAACAGTGTAAAGTGAGGCAGTGACTATTCCCGGTTGGTAGTGAAATGAATCTAATCCGATGTTAGGCTAAGAGGATTCCTCACCCTCCCCTTTTCAGTGTAGGCATGTAGGCTCAAACCAGTGATTTTGTCAACATTAATCCAGGATTTGGGCTTTTGCCACTCTCTGCCCAACACAGTGGACCAACAGCTTTAATGGAAAAGTTCACTAGAATCTAGAATCATTCACTAGTGAGATCATGACCGCACAATTTTGGAAAAAATAACTCATTTAATTATTTCGACTGATATTCCAGAACGAGTCATGATATTAAAAGGAATTATCAAGTTTTTAACATTATCTTCATTTTCATAAAAAAATATATAAAAATGAGCAATATTGTAGAGGAACTGTACCAAACAAGGATATTGTGTATTATTTCTTATTATTTGATAAAGTCTGTAGATTACTGTTTGTAATTCAGGATTTTCTCTGCAGCGCCACATTAATTAATTTAGAATGTATTTTTGAAAATATGTTGCCTTAGCCAAATATTGCACTTCCTGCAATATAAATACACACATGCACATGCAGTTGAGAGGTCAGAGTGGAGGAAGCCAGTCTAGCCGGCGCCAGTGAGCAGTTGGGGGTTAGGTGACTTGCTCAAGGGCACTTCGGCAGTGGCCCAGGAGGTGAACTGGCTCCTCTCCAGTACCAGTCCACACTCCGTATTCTTTTGTCCGATCGAGACGTGAACCGGCGACCCTTCGGTCCAAAGTCCAATCTCCTACAGACTGAACCACTCCCGCCCCAATGGAAGATGGCAGTTACCTATACTTAAGTGAACATAGAAGCCCTCCACTGAACCACAGGCACAACGCCGTATCAGTTCAATATGGGTACAGTCTGAACAGTAACACTCTGAACAACCACTAAAACATGACCCCACAGGTTTCACAACCACCTGTGTTACTCAAGCGGAGACCTGACCCTGACCCACTTTGGAACCTGTGCCAATATGGGACAGGTTCACTTTGTAAAGTACAGTGATAAGGGAGCTGTTCCTGCAACACAATCAGTGTTTTTATGGAACAGAGGTGTGAGCACCTGTGGTTATCTCACTGATGGATTGGAAAACAACTGGCGATTTGGAGGGATTTGAGAATTCTCAAGCTGCCCTGATTTTAAACTAGTTATTTGTATAAACGCAGTGAGCTTCTGAATTTTGTTAACATCTATGTCAAATGTTGTGAGTTCCCCATTCTGAAGCTCAAATGTTATGAAAGCAGATTTGGTAACGGAGCAGAATCAGGTTTTTTGCCAAGAAGGTTTTACACATACAAGGAATTTACTTTGGCTTATAATGGTGCATACATAAACACAGTAAGAGGAAGTTCTAAAAAAAAAAAAGAGGTTGCATTGAACATAAATGTGCAAAATGTACAGATGATGTTTAGGAGAACTTGTGTTGTGTCATTGTACATCAATTATGACGATTTGACAGAAAACTGTTTAAAGGAGAGGTGTCATGGCCATTTCAACTGATCATAATTCCATTGTTGAGGTCTACTAGAATAGATTTATATTGTGCATTTTTCCAAACTCACATTGGTTTCTCATACAGCATCTCTGTAAACTACTTGTATTCACTGAATTTCACTATCTGCCTTTAACGGCTCGTTGTAGCTCCAATAGCTCCAGCCCCCACCCTCCCTGTGAGCACAGTGTGCTCTGATTGGTCGGGACGTTGTGAATCGCGCTGAGCTCCGTGGAGGTGTTGTTTCCTTGTTAGCGATACACAGCCAAACACAGCCAAACTCATCCTGAGCACACACAAACTCACAGCCGAAGTAAAAACAATAAGTGTGGCTTGATATTGAGTAAGAAAAAGGTTGATAAACGCTGTGAGAATGGGTCTGCAGAGAGAATTTCGCCACGATCCCAACTGTCTGTTATCAGCCTGCAGCCAGGGAGGAGAAATCAGCTGAGCTGCCTGCTCCCTGCACACAGATGCGTGTGTGAGGAAGTCCGTGGATTGGTCAATTTGGACCAATCAGCGGGGGCTTAACGTAACGGCTCCGCGGACGTAACGTAACGGCTCCACGGATTGGTCCATTTCGTTCCGGGTACGGGTTGACATCATGCCGTACCCGGAAGAATCAAATGGACAATTATATACAAGGTATTTTCTGTGTTAGAGTTTTACTCGCTACAGGGTGTACTTTGAGGGTTTTGACTCTGCACACCGTTTACATGCATAAAAACCTTCATAACACACAAGGGGACGGGTAATAACCGGAAAAGCATGATACCTCTCCTTTAACTCAAAGTCTACTAACTAGATCACGACAAGGCTGAACATGGATGCAGCTAAAAGCTCTAGAAGAAATCTAGTAAATGGAATTTGACTTTAGATTTTCTGGACAAATGTCCATCTGTCCATCATATATCATTCAAGTTCAAGCTAACTTGTTGACCAGAAAGTCTGACCTTCATTAGTAACCATCACATCGGGGATAAACACTGTGCTGACTCCAGAATAAAGAAGGAACCCTTTGTGCAAAACTGTAGTGGTTCCCACACGCACATCCCCCACATAGAAAAATGAAGACATACAAATCCTCCCTCATAGACACACACACACAAACAGTCTTTAACATCCCCCCATGATCCAGAGTTGTTCCATAGACAGATAATAACTGCACAATCGCGTGCACTCATTCCCACACTCATGATAGATGCCGTCACATGGCTTTTCCTCCTCTGCAGTATTTTTGTTTTGATGAATAACAATAATCTGTGTGTGTGTCAGACAGATTAGTGTGATGCTTACCTTGCAGATAGTCGGCGAGATCACCGCCATTACAGTACTGTGTGGGGAGAGGAAACAATCAACATCAGCAAATTCAGGCTCAGCAATGTCAAGTTGTGAACCATAATTATGGTATTAGGCATGCAAATATGTTTCGGCGTGTATATGAGTAACAATGTTTGTTCAAATCTTAGCCCAGATAATGGCAGGATCATTAATGAATCTGCTGACAGACTGGGGCTTTATCTGGGCTGACAACCTCTGCTTAGTTCTCAAGAGGGACAACAAGAACAGACGGATAAAGTTGGTGTGGAAATTGTAAATAAAGTTAACTGCTGACTGAGGGATGAGCAATAGAGTGGAGCGGTGCAGGGTTGACGTATTTTTGTAGGGCGACTCAGAAGTTAGCATCGCATCTTTTGCCAACAGACGTTTATGATACTTAACATGTTCGGTTCAGCTAAATAATTGCCACATACATAACTTTTTGAAGCAGAAATGCTATCGCTAGGAGTAAAAAGCTAATGCTAGGCTATGAAATAAAGATATCGCGGTAGCATGGCTGGGCATCACTACCGCTAAGCTAAACCTGTGTTGCCGTGATGACGTTAAGTAATTTATTCAGTCACTTTTAGGCAACCGCCATTTTGATGACACATAGCAGCTTCAGAGATTCACTAGTTGGGTGTTGACTGTTTACTCACATATTTTATGTCCTGAAACAAAATCTCCTAAGTTTGTGTTAAACACAGATCATATTTCAGGCATCTAACCCCAAACAAGTTTAAAGAAATACTGACTTCGAGACAAGGGAATCAGAGGTGGTAAAATGCGAACTCTTTTAAAGGTTTTAGGCACTCATTCCTGCACTACTCCTATACAAGCAAGACTGGATTATGTTATATTTTACTTCCATTGCATAGGAATCCTCAGTGGGACCCTGATTGCTTCACCCATTCTTGCTTCTCAAGTGAACTTCATGTACAGATGGTTGACATATTAGAAGGAACATAAAGCCCACCATGGGCTTTAGTGCTTCTGCGCATATGTTCTCTGAATTCTATTGGAGGGAAAGCCAGAATCCTTAAAAAATATACAACCTTGTTTAAGTGTTGATGGTGGTGGTGGAGAGCACTTTCTAAATGTGCACTCGACTATGAGCCTTAGGTGTTCAATTATGCTTTACATCACCCAGTCCCTGGGAGACCACCACTTAATAAAGGCTGTTAACACACTGTTGGAAAATAACACCAGGCAATAAATACTTGTTGCTAGTGTTATTACTGGCTTCTACTTAATTACTTTCATATGTTCACTTATTTTTATACTGCTGTTACTTTTCTTTTTAACATTTGCTGTGCACTTGTTTCAATTTAATGTATAACACCTTCTAGCCTTATTTCATATGTCATATGTCTACTCTTTTGTGTTTATCTGCACTGTCCCCTTTATTGTAACAATGTACATTTCTCCGCTTTGGGACAGATAAAACATTTCTGATTCCTGATGCTGAAATCTGGTGACAGCTACAGCTTATTTACATTATTTTTAAACTCATCAAACCATTCAGTTAGCCCTTGGTTCTTGTACAGAAGCATATTCATTCTTTATTTTATGAATTGTCAGGTGTCCTTGGGTGCTTTGAAAGGCGCCTCCAAAGTAAATAGAATGAATTATTATTATTATTATTATTATTATTATTATTATTATTATTATTATTACTACTACTACTACTGGTATGTTTCTATTATTCTGGGTTTTCATTTTATTTTCCACCTCTGGCAGAAAGTGTAAAGATATTAAACAAGCTGTGAAAGTGTGGTCTGAAACAACATCGTACTTTAAAAGACTAGGAGATGAAAAAGTAAACACTTAATGATCCACTAAAAGCAACATAATAAAACCTTACTCCCTTTGTCAAGCTTGCAAAAAGAACTCTTAACTCCCTGATTGTAGCCTCTGATAACGTGTAATCTAATTTAGTTTTTGCTGATCTAACTGCGGAGTAATAAGTCTTTGGTTGACGTCACCTTCGAATTGAGGGTTCAGTTGAGGCTTAGCAAAGCTTTACCCTTTAATGGTAAGAATGTATCTTCAGACCAGAGGGAGCTATGCAGTTAGCCATCGATCAAGTTGTCATTCTGTTTGGATCGCTTACAGTTTACATAGAAGTTAAGCTTTTTCATCAGTATTGATTTAACCAGGCTGAAGTCCATGCCTAAAACTGCAGCAAGGGCATGACTACAAGAATACTCTGGAAAGCATTTAATAGCTGTAATAAAAAGTTATTTTTCTATAATAACTGACTTGACTTTCTTCTGTCAGCTTTAAAAACAACATAGTAAAAACTGTTTTCTGTAAATTAATGTAACCTCTTGGTATGACTGCTGATCCAAACACGCTATAATTCCTAAGGATTATTGATGGAGTATACTGTAGAGCTGTATAGATGAAAACAAGATTTGAAGCAAAGGCATTCAGGGAATGGGATTCCTAGAAAGCAGAGGGGTGTGTTTTCAGAGAGTAACTTGAGGTTTGTTTTCTCCCCTGCAGCCAGCAGAGTTGCGTAACAACCAGGGAAAGTTGGGGAGCATGCAGAGGCTGTCAGCCAGCTAGGAGAGACTTTATAGAAACAATATGAAGAAAAACAAGAGAGGAAGGAAATGACAGGGAGGGGCACGACAGCATACCAAAAAAAGAACAAATGCTGACAGCCAGAGTGTGGGGTAAACAGTTACATTTATCATTTCATTTTTTGTTAAGAAATATGTATAAAAATTAGGGCTGTCAGTCGATTAAAATATTTAATCGCATGATTGTCCATAGTTAATCGCACAATTTTTATCTGTTCTAAATGTACCTTAGAGGGATATTTTTCAAGTTTCTAATACTCTTATCAACATATGAGTGGACAAATATGCTTTATATGTTTGTTTATTATCATTTGAACAATGACAAATAATCTCATGAATATTAAACACAACAACCTCTGAACATTACAAATATTCGCCTCAATTCAACCTGGAACCTCTCATACAATAATACAAAGTGTGTGTGTGTGTGTGTGTGTGTGTGTGTGTGTGTGTGTGTGTGTGTGTGTGTGTGTGTGTGTGTGTGTGTGTGTGTGTGTGTGTGTGTGTGTGTGGAGACACTGTGATGGATCGTTGGAGCTATGTGCAGCTCAAGGCATATATGCTCGAACGGGAGCTGCCTGGACGCTGCAATCATGTTGCGCGCACTATCCGTGCTGAGTGTGCTGACTTTTCGTACAATGTCCCACTGTCTGGCTACCTGCATAAAGTCAAGTGCTCGGCGCAGTTGTCGGCGAAATGTCGCTCCGCTGTTTTCATTGAAACAGCTCCTTATATCCGTTAGCGCAGCTACCTAGCACCAGATGCTAACAACAACACGTAAGGTGTGCCTCGCGCGAGTCGCGCCACACATACACACAACCTCCCGGTCCTCCCGATGGCCAGTCCGGGCCTGCCGGTGAGCGTGGAAGTGTGGTCTGCCACAAGCGGGCGGCAGGAGCGGGGCTGTCAGCATCAGCTTGTAGATGGTATTTTAAACTCGATGCGGGGCGGCCAAGGACAAAAAATGCACATGCGTTAATCGCGTTAAAATAATTAGTGGCGTTAATTTTTTTTTTCGTTAACGCGTTATTAACGCGTTAACTTGACAGCCCTAATGAAAATATACGCCTTGTCCTGAGTTCTGGATGAAAATTGTCCAGATATTAAATAAAAATGTTTTGTTGGGTAAAATACAATATGTTAAGCTAAATTAAGAAGATATCTGAATTAGAGGTGCCTAAATAATACATTGTGAAGCCAATTTCTTAAAAAAACAACTCAACATGATATGGGACAAATAGTTTTTGTGCTTCTGGTTAATGGGTACATTCAGACTTTCAACCTCGATATTTGCAATGTTAAAGGAAACTTATAAATGATTTGTCTTTAATTAATTTTTTTATAAAAAAGAAATCTCATCATACTGTAGCATTGAAGATTAACCAACTACTTTCTAGAGTAAAAAAAAAAGTATGGTTTCCCAACACAAATGACAACACAGGAGAGGATATGAGCTCTGAATCATCAGAAGAGCAGACAGTCACGTTTCTAAACTTACCTCCATGACCAGGAAAACAGCGTTGGGCGTTTCCTGGAAAAGAAGAGACACAGAATCAGTTACAGAAACTGACAACCACTGCAAGATCAACATCCTGCGCAACACACACCCACTTTTTGACTTCTGAAAAAGCTATTAAATACTTATGACACAGCTAAACATTTAAGTTGTAAAAAAATCGCACAAACTGGCAAGACAAACATGTTGGAACTTGTTTTAGTTTCAGAAGGAGGTCAACAGATACGTCGGAAAATCCAATTAAAATTAATCCAAATGTGAACATAATTGTAGCATTTTTTAAATCACTTAAGATTTCGACAACAAACCTTGAATTCAAGGATTCCACAAGTTGTAGCCTAAGCTTAACCGTAACCCTAACCCTAGGTACTCGAGTTCCAAAACAACAACATTTAGATTGTTCTTGATAGAAGTCACATTGGATAAAGAATTGTTAGGCCTAAAACTTTTTGGCGATTATCAGAAAATTAATCCGTGACCATTACGAAGAACTAGGGATGCTCCGATCGATCGCCCGCCGAACGATATTGGCCGATACTCACTCTGCTGATCGATCGGTGCTCTCTAAAAATGCCGATCGCGAGAGCCGATCGCATGACGTAAAATGATGACGTAAAATACATGACACTTTTCTCTGTGTGCGGCAAAACAAGCTCGCCAAAATGGCTTCACCGGTCTGGCAGTATTTTAAGGTGTCCGAAAAAGACAATAAAATAGCGATATGCAACGTGTGTGAAGCAGAAATCCTGCAGCTCCGCCCGCTGTGACGGACCGGTGAGCGGAGCAACACACACACTAAGAGTTAGACCTAACACACTGAGCTATTTTATCTACCTCTGGAACAAGCTAAACTAGTTATAAATATATTTATTCTTCACTGTCGGGTCACTCATTACTGGATCAGTGAGCTGCATGAGATACTGACGGGCTGTCAGGAGAGAGGAAAAGAGAGCGCTTCCGCTCATTTCTCCCGTGTTATTATCCAAAGTTAATGTAAACTTGAATAATGTACTTCATTTGAATGTAATAATTATGTTGGTTGTTGTTTGTGGAAGCGCCAGTGAATGAGCCCCGTTAACTGAGTTTTAAACATCACTTTAAATGGAAGATCCCCATAGGCCCCGCCCACTCGATCGGATCGGCGATCGGTATCGGCCGATACTGATTCCGGCGATCGGCCCCAAAATTGGCGATCGGAGCATCCCTACGAAGAACACTTGAAAAACTGCAAATACGCCTTGGAGCTTTGTCAAGTAAGAGCATGTGCTGCTCTTAACTGAAATATAATAACATTTAACTGAATATTGTTGAGATGTTGACCAGATAATGAGGAATTTGAAGATTCCTCCTTACAAATCATAATATATTTTTTTGTCCAAATTTTAACTATAAAAGAAAAAAGAGAAAAGATCAGTCGATATTGAAAAAAAATCATTACACTCTTGTTTAATACCCAGTCAAACACCATATTTAAACATTTTTTAACCAAGCCAATGAAGATACAGCAGAATAAAACCATCTTACTGTGTAATTTTAAAACGTATTATTGGTATTCATATTAAACAATGTAACTTGCTCATAACAGATGCATGATAATATTGAGCAGTAGAAATGAATATGCTTAGCTTAGTGATGTAATCGCATCGAAATGAACATATAATGTGGGCCTACAACACAACAGAATAGGCTCAGATAAATCTTTATAGATCCCCAGTGGGGAAATTCAGCAATAGAAAAGAATTTATTGAAAAAGTGTTATAAACAATAATAAAATGTACACATGTCAGATAAAGAAATAGACGGTATACAAGAGCCGAGTTATGCTGAGTCATCTGCTTGTACATGAAATAAGACAGAAGTGATTGACATGAGCTAGCAAGACACAACAACACCAATCCAGTGTTTTTGGCAACCTTTAAACAATTCTGTATAAAAACAAATGTTACCATGGTCCGACCACTAGCTACTGAACAACCCACGTGTGACCACAGGGAAATGGGCCTGTTTGTTTGGTTGGTAAGTAGTTCAGTCTTCCAATCCTATACAGTGTTTTTCTCCATATAGAGCAGGTGTTAGTGAGGGATGGGCCACCAGTATCCAATCAGACTGTATGTGTGTGTGAATATATCGGTGTGTGGGGGAGGGACAAGGGGGGGAATTACATAATGAGCATGTATTCAGCAGCACAATCTGGGAAGAGACAGGGGGGTAAATGCTAGTGATGACTCATTGTCAATGAAGAACTTTGTTACACAATCACACACACTTATCCAACATCAGAGAAAAATGAAAACAACACAATGTGGACACTGAGTACTTCTAAGAAAAGCTGTCGCCTGGAGACATTTCATTCAGTGTGTGTATTGTCACTTTCCTGCTGTTGTTGCCTCCGCTTGGCTTGTTTGCCGTGAAGTGATATGCATTTCAAGAGGCAGGTGGTGACAGCAGCACATAAGGCAGCCTTTGTTTGCGAGGCCTTAAGGACCAGACACACCAGGCCGAAATCGGCCGTCTTCGTTAGTCGGACGAGCGTGCCCTGTCGCCCAAACTCAATTTGGTGTGTCCCGAACCGTCGGCCGTGACACGCCTTATTTGGCCTTTCATGGCCGTGCGTCGGCCACAGGCAGTCGGACCAAGAAATCACTCTGATTGGCTGTTCAGCTAGCGAAGCAGTGCATGAGAAGCGAAACGGTTGCTTGAGAATGTCTTCCACAAGCAACACTCCAATGGCTGATAGCTCCAGTACCGCACGAAACATGTTTTCGATGGACGAGAGTGAAAATGGAACGCACACGCTATTTGTTGTTTGTTTAGATCACGCAGTCTGTTCTTCTTCTCTGTCTTCCGGTTGTTGCCTCGTTTGAATGACGAATACACACTACCGCCGCCTGCTGGTAAGGAGAGTTATTGCCACTCACGCATGCGCAGTTCGTACGTGCTCGGCTGAAGTCTTGTCTTGTGTTCCAGTGCGACACATGGCCAAGACGCAGGAGAACACGGCGACGCAACAGTCGGCGTCGGCGAGTTCTCTGGTGACTGCTTGGTGTGTCAGGGCCTTTAGAGGAAGTAGCGGCTCGCAGTTATGAAAGTGATGACCGTTTTAACTGTTTACCCAAACTAATGTTTTCTAGAAATTACTGTTGAAATAAAAGTTGTTGAACTTTGGACGTTCTAGCGTTACCGGATGAGGGCTGGGCTCCAAAATATTCCCTTCCAGTGCAAAATATTCCAAAACAACTCTGATATAAATAGTTCCTCTTTCATCATACGCCTGTCACACTCGTGTTAGATGCTGTTTCACGACACACACAATCTGCCGGCACTGGCCAGAAGGATGAAAGGATTTTATTATCCTGAGATATGAAAACTGACAACAAGAAACACACAAAAACACTCCGGACTGCCAGGAGTCAATGTGAGCCAAATCAGCAGCGTTCAGTTCCAGCGTCACACTCCAGCTCCAGTGGTTATGTAACAAAGTGGGGGATGGGATATGGCCAAACTGGAGCGGGTGGAAGTGGAGAGTAGCGTGTTTTTACTGGGGATGGGGAGGTTAAGCATTTGCAGTGAGCCAGTGTACTTTTGTCACGCAAGCGACAAGAGTAATCTGGGGTATTCTGGGTAAACTGGTGTCAATTGTGAGTTAAGTATTTGCTTTGACAGAAGAACACGGAGTGACGGATGACTGTCAGTGAGCAGGAAAACAGTCATTATGAGCCGAGGACAAAAGGTCAGCATCGCTTGATGGTGTTCAGTGGGGCTCAACCTTCAGTCCAGAGGGGAGGATGTTTATTATTTTGTAGGTGTATGATGTGGTATTACACAGATGTGCTGATGTGACCACATACAGTACACACACAAAACACTTTGCATAGAAAGGAACAGAACATCCACTGTGCCAAGATAGTCAAATGCTGAGTTGTTGGAATAAGCAGGAAATAAGTTACCATTTTAGCACTTCTGCGCTCCCTCGTCTCAAAGTCAATGTTTTTTGGAAAGAGTTTTTGGTTAGATGCCTGAAACAAGGTCTATACAAGCCTAACTTTTGCAATTTTACAACATAAAATAAGTCCGTAAATAGTCCGAGTGGTGTAGTGATGACTTTTTTTTTTAGGCCAGACCCGGAAGTTAGCAAAGCAAGGGATCCCACGACGAAAAATAAATGGGATTTCCCAATTGGATTTCGTTATATCAAAGAAAATAAGCTTTGTGGCCAACACACATTCATGATACTTAACAGGTCTTATTCAGAAGGATAATATCAACATATTAACACCAATTTGTGATTTTTTTAAGCGTAATTAATAATGGAATTAGTAGAAATATAAAAGCTAACGTAATGCTTTAAACCAACTACATCATGGTCGCGTGGCCGTGCATCACCACCGCCAAGCTGAAGGCGGACTTGTGTTGGCGTGATGTCGTAAGTAGTCACTTTTTAGCATCTTCTAAACTCTAACTTATGACAGTGGAGTTTTTACTGACTTATATTATTTGCCGTGCAAATCTTGTTCGATTATTTCAGGCTTCTTACCCCAAACACGTTCAAAATACAGTTCACTTTGAGACAAGAGAACCAGAAGGAGTCAAATGCCAAGTCTTTTCTAGTTTATAGGATTCATTACTTCACCACTCGACACCCCAATTGTGAATGTCTGTAGCTTTTACTTATAAAAACAAGAAGCAGCTAAAGCGGACTACTAATGGCGCATTTCCACTGCAGGGCCTCGCACGGCTTAGTACAGTATAGTATAGTTAGGCCTTGGTAGGCCAGGCTCACTTACTGTATGGGCATTGGCATGGCTCTTTTTAGAAACAGAAGCACAGTAAATGCTTGCAAGAGGTCAGGGTTAATGGTGGATGTATAAAGCACAGGACTGACAGAAAGGATAGATTCAGACAACAAAAGTGCTTGTCAAGCCTCTTAAAACTCATCATTTAGTTTTTCTGGTCCGCCTACTCCACTCTAATCAACGTTGTCTGCTACCTGCTTCTGGAAACAAACTCACTGTGCA